TACAGATTGGATGAAACAGTATAACTTACAAAAGTTTCACTGGTTTTAGAGTAGCAGCCGTGTTAGTCTGTATTCACAAAAAGAAAAGGAGTACTCGTGGCACCTTAGAGACTAACAAAAGTTTCACTGACTTCATTTTGAAGCTATGTGCTAACAGATTCATGTTCATATAGTTTCTTCATAAAGACCAACATTGAATTAGCAGACAACTTTCTCAAGTTAGACTTTCATTGTGCAATAATGGAACTAACCGTATACAACTAGCACTATTACAAGATAAAGTATTCTAAAAATTTTCCAGAATCTTGAGTTATTTTGTAAAGGTTTTTTCATCTTTAAATTTTATTCATTTAAAATTTTACAAGTGCTGCAAATCACTTATTCCTTAAGATGTTCACTTTCTCTACTCTGACTTAGATTGCCATCTTGTAGCAGTCTAGGAACGTCTCAAAGGATTTCCAGTGGACACAGGAGGTAGTAGAGCTTTTATATTTATGCAGGCTGCAGTCACTGGAGGGTGATATCATACAAATTGTTGACGTCTGACATTCCATGCAGTAGAATTCAGTAGTCCTCTGTTGTAGGAGGATATAGCAATAACCCTAAGCCTGACAAGACAGTGCTCACATAAATGTTCCCCTCTTTCGGGCTTACTTTGTCTTTTATAATTTAAGCCTATTACCAGGGTAAACAAAACAAAAAAACCAAACCAGTCCTTTTGAAAATTGTTTTCATCAAATTTTTGACCCACAATTTGGACCTCAAATGTACTTTCATTCACATGGCTAAATATCAGAGGGACCCCCCCCCACATACCAAATCATTTTTCATAACTTTTACGATATTTTCTGGCAACTAACAGGAGACTCATAGTTTATCTCAACTAGTTTATTTTTAAATGACCAAAACCATTAGGATTTACATTACCAATTCCACAGCAAATTGCTTTGAAAAATAAAGTTCTGTTTGTGCAGTGCAAAAACTGTGTCCAACATATGTTTAAAGATTACTTTGGGGCTAAGATCCTTACAAGGACCACTCACAAGGAATGTCTATGGCTGTTACCAAATCCTGGAAATACAGGTTTATAATAGATTAGCAGCTCAGCCCATTAGCACTAATAGTCACTGTTCTAATTACCTACCTTCTTGATTTAATCAACTGAACTGCCAGCCATTTGAAATATTAAAAAATGTGCTTGTCCTGCAGTACCAATAGATAAAAGATTGCCAGGCAATACACACATCACAGCATACAACAAAAAGGTTTTATAGCCCCACAGTCTATTTAAGGAAAGCGTGTATGTGGGAAGGAGTGAGAGAAAGGACAATGAACATGTATTTACATGAGATTTAAACCTGCAGAAGCAAGCCCCAGGAACGCAATTGCTTGTTCTGTAGTTCCAGGAATCCTTGCCATTCAGTAATTGGAACATTTAGGGCTAGAATGAAAGTTTACTCTCATCCACTAGTAAGAAGTCCATACCAGTAATTGCTTTCCCTCTGTACTAGATGGTGCCTTGAGTGGGTGTGAAGGGGTCCATTTCCCTGCTCCTTCCTCACTGCTCTCCACCCATCTGCACTAGAGGGGGGAGCAGCAGCCCTGCAAAGGCTACTTTCCTGCTGCACAGACCTGCAAGGCAAGTAACCCACCTTAGACAGACTTCTTAACTGGTGTCTGGGGCAAGAGACAATTTTGCTCTAAAGAAATGGAAGGACAGGGAACCTCCATTGACAATTAAGTCCAAGGTAGCCAGGAATGCACAGCAACCCTTTCCTTTATAGGTAACTATTTCAGAAGGGCCAGTACAGGGGAAAGGAAGTTGGACTGTGAAATTTTATATTCTGTGGAAGATGTTGTTGGCATGCCGATAAAGCATAATAGTTATCTTAATCTAGAAAAAACTAAAAAGGTATGAACAAACATCCTAGTTTATTGGACATCTTGCACTAAGGAGGAAGTTCGTATGATAATATCCAGCAGGTTATTAGAAAAGGGCTCTATTCAAATGAGCATGGAAATATAAAACCTAAGAAACTGCAGCTGAACTGCTCAAAGCAGCCTCCAAAGTAATAAAGCATAGGCTCAGTACTGCAGCTCATACTCATGCTAGTCCCATTAAAGCGAACAGAACAAAATGGCATGACCACAGGCTGTAGGACTGGGCCCTAAATGAGGTTTATAGAAAAAAAACCCCACAGCTCAGACACAAGGGAATAGCACATAATTCAAGTGTTCATGCACAATGAGAAACTCAAATAATTCCCTGACAACCACCATGAAACTGAACTCAGAACATGAAATATAAGGGGCCAGATCATAACTTGGTGTAAAGGCAGCTACATCCGCATCTGCTGAAGATCTGGAAATACAAGCAGAGTTTGGGGGTGGGGGAGAAGACAGAATATGTTGTGTGTGGAGCTACTGAAGCTGTAACAAGGAGAGGGCTGAAATCTCAAGATCCCTGCTCATCTCTTTTTAGTTGCTGATTGGGGGTGACAATGATACCTTCAGCATAGACACTAGGTGGAAATGGAGTCCATCCTGAATTGTTCTATAAAAATATAAATCAATTCCACCTAGAAGAGGACTCAAAGATTACTCTCCACTTCCAAAAGGGGAAAGCCCTCATGTTTGTCTGAAATGTTAATGAGCGAATGTCACTTTGTCTGGGTAAAGAAAGCATGAATCTGTTGGGCTATTGTTTGTCCTACTACTAGCTCGAGGTCCTGGACAGACGCATTGCAAAGCTGGTGGATGCTTACAAATTGCTGTAGGAGAAGCAGAGCTTTTGTTTTCCCAACTCCTGGAATCTGCTGGACTGTCCGAAGTATTGATGCCTCCACTAGCTGGGGACATTTTTTATGAAGAAAGGGGTTACTAGTGTGATCCTTACTTTGCTCATGGACCTGAAACAAAAAGGAAAGTAGAAGCTGAGCTCCATTTATTTAGTGGAGCCCTGATTTCTGTTTTTCGTAGGTAATTTCACTTAGGTTAAAAAGGAAACTCTCTATAATCACTTCCATCCATTTACCAGTTAATATGCACTTTCCCAGAGTAACATGTAATGTAACTGTAAATGTAAATGCTAGCACTTAGCGAAGAAAGACAGAGTCATGAGAAATATTAAGGGAAGAAAAGTGGAGTTATACAGTCTACTGTCTGGGCTAAGATAACAGGTACAGGAGGACAAAAACAGGGCAGACCAGAGGAGGGTAGTGGCACCTGACAGCCAGTCTCAAAGCATAGGTCTCAACTTTGTTATTTGCATTACTGTAGCAACTAGGAGACTAGTCACCTTCTTCATACTCATCCATTCTTACTTCTCTGGTCATGTGGGAGGGATGGAACAAGAACAGAAAAAGTTACTGACACTGATGCTGCAGAGAACACCACAGCCCTGGACTGAAAATACAAACTTTGGGCTGCCCTCCCCTCACACTCCAAGCAACAGATTTTTAAGTGGTCAGTCTGCATAAGATTCAGAAGTCAAAATTTAGGCAGACAGTTGATTTTACAAGATATGCAGTATTGAGAGTTTGAGGGCAGATCATGTATTATTTATTGGATTAACTATTCAAAGGCTTCATCTGGAATGAATGAAGTTTTTCATGAATTAAGAAAAAAAAGGAGGACTGTCACTGGACTATGACTCAGTAGGACACTCAAATATGCAACGTAATTGTTTAAAATCTATTTTGAGTGCTGATCAGTCATCAGTTCATGTTGATTAAAATGCAGTCCTTCTCTTAAGGAGGACACAAAAAGTGGCATTTTGGGGTTTCATATTTAATGTATTCCCAAGACTTCCCAATTAACTGTTCAAGTTTACAAAAAAATAAAGTTTTATCACTGTTGGCCCTATAAGTACAACCTGAGGTCTGAAGGAAGACATGTTCTTTCCATTTCATTCAGCACTTTTAATAAAGGTTCTAAGGCCAAACATCACCCTCACTAGACATGTACAACTTTATTGTCTTCAGATTTCTCATTGATAACTTTACAAACTCCATGGTCTTCAGTTGGTTTTCACAAGTGTAACTGATTGTTCTGTAGTTCAAGATTAGTACATGTTTCTGTTGATGGTGCACAAGAAGGAATAGAATCCAGCTTACTCTTGCCAATTCATCGGCTTTGAAATATTAGCAGGAGCAAAAACCAGTATAAATTATTATTTCGGACACAAAGGGAAGCAAATGTGACCCTGAAAACATACCGGGAGCAGTCAGTTTTCATAGTAAAACCAAATTTTACTTACATCAGGTTAGTGTTGTATTTTCTCTGTTGAGGCTTTCATTTCTTGGGCTCTGCTCTGAAGTAACTCTTTAAGCAGGGTTTTGTCTTACCTGACCTTTATTACCAGCACTTCAGTTTTCTCAGCTGATTCCCTCACAATGAAGTGCCTTTGATTAACCAATGATTTTGGTAAGGCAAACATATATTTCCCATTAGTTTAGACGAAGGCCTGCCAAGTCTTATAGAAAAATCTACTAGTTTCCTAACACGAATTAGTACTCCGATCCCACCATCTGCTCAGATAAATGAGCAACTGAGTAGGTGGAAATATAGCAGTGAGAGTACCAGATCTTAAAGACAACAAATATAAAGATAGATATAGTACTTCTGGCCTGAGAAGACCTCAAAGCCCTAAACATGCACATACTGGACAAAGAAGTTCAGTGAAGAAAGCTTGCTGGCATATTCCAATGCATACCCACATGGGGAAATCCAAATTCAGTTTTCCCCAAGTTGGCCCCTTGCTTCTTAAACTTACAGGTGCTAGGAACGACAAGGAGGGAGCAATATGTTATTTTTGAGTGATCTCTCTATTCCGCAGAGAATGCGCAAAGCAGAGTTGAAAATCCAGGAGAGGATCATATGTAACTCTTAACTTGGAATACAAGTTGCTGAGACATGAAAAAAAAAAAAATTAAAATAAAAAGCAACACATTTTCAGACTTAATTGATGTTTGCTCACTGGCACAGACATTAGTACTTACTAGCTGGATAATAAGTTGAGATGCTTCTCCCTGATTGGCCACTGGAAGCAATGTCATTCCAAGTTCTAGCACAATAAACTTCTGCACTGCCGGAAAGTACTGATCACTTATCTGGGTTTTTTCAACTATCACAATCCCATGAAGACTGCTGGCCTTTGACAAAGAAAAACAACAGTGAGGGGAAACAAGTCTTACATCTAGCGATACTTCTCCAAATGGTTAAGCAACAGCCCTGCCCATCAGGGAGTCAATACTGAAGAAGGAGGAGAGGAAAATGTACATCAAACCCCCTTTTACACCAGCCTAAAAAGGAGTCAATATGGGTCTAGGAATGACCCATAGTATTTGCTGCAATACTTTATTGGAAATTCTAGAAAACAAGAGTGATTAAACAGATTTAGTGGATGTTTAAGTCAGTTTTCAGATGGAAAACTTTTTAAATGAATTTAAGTCCAATAGGAAACAAAATATTCATCAAAATCTGATTATTAGAATGTTTTCTATTTTTGAAGCTTAGGATAATGAATTGAATTCATTATTAATGTGGATTCTTCTATTAAAGGGGAATAACCTCAGGTTTTCTAATGGGAGCTTTTCCTTTCCCCGCTTTTTTTTTTTTTTTTTAAACTTTGTGTAGGACTTACATTTCTAAACCGAACAAGACGTCTTTTGAAGCCATTTCCTGCCACCAAATCTGCTTCAGAAATATACAAAATGCAAGATCTGTTTGAAAGATGAAAATCCACAAGTCCTAAGCCATCTTCAAGAATTAGCTTAATTTTCCCTTAAAAATAAGATTGTAAAAAGAAAATTGTAACAATAAAACCTGGTTTTATATTGCCTTGACAGATATTTTCCATTAAAATACAGGAACTTCATGCTCCAATCTTGCAAATACTTATGCATGTGGTTAAGTCCCACTGACTTCAGAAAGCTTGTTTGACTATTTATTGTATACCTTAGAAAAGTCTTCATTCTCTCCTGACTACATATTTTGCAAATTGATGTCAAACCGTTTCCCTTAAAAAACGGAGGTCCCAATCCTTCAAAAATGTATGTTATTTGCATTATTGTATTATTATATATTGTAGAACCTAGAAACCCTAGTCATGGACTAGAACCCCACTGTGCTAGGCACTCTACAAACACAGAGCAAAAAGACAGTCCCTGCCCCAAAAAGCATACAACCCAATATAGATGAGAGATGGATACAGACAGGAGAGTATAAGGAAACAGTGAGACAACGTTGGTCAGCATAATAGGCAGTGGTCTCAGCACACCAGCCACCTAACTGCTGCCATGATTTTTGTGTAGGCATCACAGCAAAGTCCTAAGGAAAAATTTGAAGGAACACAATGAAGTGGTTTTGCAGATAATTACCAGAGCATGAGGGGCAGCATGAGAAAAAGCACCAAGCTGCTTGTTTGAAATTTTAAAAAGTGAGCGATGGAGGCGGGCATCATGGACTGACTGGGGGCAGGAAATGACATATTGGTAGTGAGATATGATAGGTAGGGTGAAGATAGGAGGGATGCAAAGAGCCGTGGCATGGTCAAAATGACAGACTAGGAAAATGATTTTTGCAGCAGCATTCTGAATGGATATCAGAGGGCAAGACTGCATTTCTCAAGGCCAGAGAGCAGGATGCTGCAGTAATCAAGACACAAGATGATGAGAGTTGGATGACAGTTTTAGTTATGTGGATGAATAGGAAAGGCATAACTTTGTTATGTAACTTTGAGATGTTACACAGAAAAAAAAAATCTGCAAATCTGAATTTGAGGACCTAGAGAGAGGTCCCTATCTCTGTGGCTTGCGGTCACTGGATGCTGTAGTTTGCATATATACATATATTATAGATAAATAGAGCGTGCACGCATATCTGCTAGATCAGCAGCTGCATGCTGACAACCGATGGAGCTGCAAGAGAAGGAGAGGTTATGTAACCTGGACACAATGGCCTGATCCCACAGCCTACAGGTACTAAGAAATACCCAGATGGGACAAGCTGTGACCTGCATACAAGGAAGCAGACTATACTGAAGAATACTTCACCATTTTTGAAAGGTTATGTGAGGTGCATAAAGTTACAGAGGACAAGAAAGTCCCAACTTTGATTACTAAGCTCTCAAGTAAAGTATTAAATGTATTTAATGAAATGCCAACTGAAGAGGCTTTGAAATATGCCGAGTTTAAAAATGCTGTATTTCAAAGATTTCAGATTACTCCTAAAGCATAGAGTACAACATAATGAATGACAAGATGAGTCAGAGAATGCGTGTACAAGTTGTGTGATCCGATGAGAAAATGGGCTAAGAGGAAGGGGACAGACAATTATGACCAAATGTTTATTCTCTTAGCCCAGGAACAGTTCCTGAGCACAAATTCTGAAGAGATCAGCTAAGCTATTTGGGATAAACCCCTGGATTCAGTCCAAAGAGCTGATGATCTAGCTGATGCATATATGCAAGCTAAAGGCATCCAGTGACCAACAAGCTACAGAGGGAGGGGCAGAAGCCCATTGTAAAAGGGGGACCCTGTTTTAGCTCTAGGAAGAAAGAGGGCGGTTGGGAGACCAGGCACTTACTCCCCAGAAAGGATCCCCTCCTAGAATCATACTCACAGACCCTGTGTACAAGAGAACAGTCCAAGAAGGTGTTTTATATGTGGTTCTACTGAACACATGAGAAACTGTCCTAAACTAAAATGAATCTAAGCCCACATCCCATCCAACACAGGTTAATGCAGCTGTCATTAGCACAGAGGTGCCTACAGGGCCTTTGATTAATTTGGTGACGTCTGACCTGTTGGAGGTGGTCAGGGAATTTATTAAAGTTGCCCAAGTGAATGGCAAAGAATGCCTACAGTGGGGAGAGACTGGTGCCCAGATTTCTCTGGTCAGGGAAAGCATGGTAAAAGAGAATGACATGTTACTTGGCCAGTAGGTAGAGTTCCTGGCACCGGGAAGATATAAATTCCTGTGCCTTTAGGTAAGTTGCATCTGGAGTGGGAAGGCTCAAAGGGTACCTTAAAAAGTTGGGGCCCTGGAAATGCTGGTGGGAAGTGACATCTTAACTATGTCTAAGGTGGTTAATATTGTAACCCATAGTAAAAAGGGCTACTTTTCTGTGATGCCAGACGGGAATGGTAAAGACGCAGAAACTACTGTGGATGGAGGGGAAACACTTCCAGCTCTGGCTCAGCAGAAGGAAGCAGTGTGTTTTCAAGTATGGGAGAGGTTGATTCAAACTCCTGTGTAGCAGAGAGAAGTAGCATGAGAGTGGGGCTATGTGGGGAGGAGTTAATCTGTTACTGCAGAAGCGGTCCCTGTTGTCAATTGCCAGTGTTTTGCAGCTGAATGGAGGGCAGATCCCACTGTGGGGTGCATAAGGGGACATGTCCTTGAGGGAACCTCAGTAAGGAACAATGCAGAAAGGTTTTTTGAAGAAGGAAAGCTCCCATGGGGAAGGACAAAAACCTGGGAAACCTTACAAGAAACTAGTTGTGCCTGCCCTGTACCATGGGGAGTTAACGTTGCTAGCCCACAACTGCCCTTTTGCTGGCCACGTGGGGCACAGAGAACCTTCAATAAGTTAAAGAAGAATTTAATGGCCAGGGATACAGAATAATGTGAGGAATTATTGCAGATCTTGTGAGTTATGTCAGAAGAGACCGACCTGCATGACTCTAAAAAGTTCCTCTTCACCCCTTGCCTGTGATACAAGAGGCAGTCTGTAGGGAAGCAACAGACACTGCGGGACCTATCTCCTGTTCAACCCAAAAGGGGAAGAGATATCTTGGTTGAAGTGGATTTTGCCCCTAGATATCCAAAGGCAGTAGCTCTATCTAACACAGAAGCTGACCCTGTGGCAAAAGCCCTTTTCACTATTTTCAACACAGTGGGTTTCTCTAAAGAGATTTTAATCAGAGTGTGGGGTCAAATTTCATGTCCCAGCAGCACGTTACAGTGACGTAGTTGGCAGGATTTACCCACAGCTTGCTGTTTTAACTGAGGTTTACACTTCAAGAACTGGTAAAATAGTTTTAAGTGATTCTCAAGTGGAATCACTGGCTGCAAAAAGTTATAGTTTTATTATTTTCTGTTTGTTTATTTCGGGTGAGGAACTAGAAAAAAAAGGAAGTGCAAAATTGAGTAGACATGCTAAAGCAGAGGTGGGCAAACTACAGCCTGCGGGTCACATCCGGCCCTTGGGACCATCCTCCCCAGCCCTTGAGCTCCTGGCCAGATGGCTGGCTCCGGCCAGGTGGCTTGGCTTCCAGTCCTGCCGCTCTGAGTGGCACGGTAAGGGTGCAGGGAGGTTGGATAAGGGGCAGGGGGTCCTAGGGGGGCAGTCAGGGGACAGGGGGCAGTTGGATGGGGTGGAGGTTTGGGATGGGGAGGGCAGTCGGGGATGGGGAATAGGGAGGGTTAGATAGACTTGGGAGTCCTGGGGGGCCTGTCAGGGGGCGGGGGTGTGGATAGGTTGGGGCAGTTACGGGACAGGGGGAGGTTGGATAGGGGGTGGGGCCCTGGGATGGTGGTTAGGGGCGGGGGGTTCTGGGAGGCAGTGGTCAGGGGACAAGGAGCAGGGGGGCATTGGATGGGTCGGAGGTTCTGAGGGGGGCAGTCACGGGGTGGGAAGTTGGAGGGGGTGGATGGCGGAGGGGGCCAGGCTGTTTGGGGAGGCATAACCTTCTCTACCTGGCCCTCTATACAGTTTTGCAACCCTGATGTGGCCCTCAGGCCCAAAAGTTTGCCCACCCCTGTGCTAAAGGAAACAAAGGCAAAGACATAGCCCTCAATGAGGCAGCCACACAATTCAAAGTGGCCGAGACAGAGTTACAGAAGTTGGTGGTGGCTGAGTGGACCAAAAAAGATGGAAATGGCTAATATAGAGGACTGTGACCACCAGAAATGGAAAACACACCAATGAGCCAGAAAAGCTGATCTGAGAGCCAAGGAAAGGGAGGCAGAAACCTGTAGCATGTAACAGTGGCACTGATAAAATAGTTTTAAGTGATTCTTAAGTGACACAGCTGGGAACAGCTAAAGAAAGGTTACAGTTTTATTATTTTCTGTTTGTTTATTCTGGGAAAGAAACAGAACAAAGGAAAGCATACCGTAAAGATGAGTAAGCAGCAGAAAAGGCCAGAGACTGAACCCTAAGGGATCAATTTGACTCTAGAAACAAAAGACGACTTTAAGATATGAAGTCTTTTTGTATGTCCTTAAGCAGCAGACAAGGAAAACCATCACCTTGGACCCTGCAGGGATCCTAGCTAAGAATTAGCCAGCTATTGTGAGGAAACGAAGATGGGTGAAGAAGCTAACTTGAACAAGACTGTAGCTTCTTAAGGTAGATTTTAACCATGAGAAAGTGTATTTTTTACTTTTGTAAACCATTTGTGTAACCATTTCTATCTTTATTCCTTCTACCTTATATCACTTAACTTATGTTCTTTCATTAACAAACATGTTTTATTTTTGATTATAAACCTACTCAGTGCAGTGTTTGAAGGGAAGGGTGTGTTAACCCCAGTTAAGAAGCTGTAATGTACTGACTCTTTAAAAGAGCAGAGAACTTAATATCTTCCGCAAATGTATAGTGATAAGTTCTTTGCCTCGTAGAGTGCCATCTCTGAGGAGCTCAGGGGCTGGAATTCAGTGATTGTTACCTGCTAGGTAAGGGTTAAGACTGGTAGAGTCTTGAGGGGTTTGTTGATAAGGAAGACAGGCTGGTGTGGCAGAGAGCTGACAATCTAATCTACAGCAAAGCTCACTCCTGGTGAGGCAGAGATAACACGGTAGCTCACAGCTCTGGGTATCCCCAGCAACATGTTACAATAATCTGAATTTGAGGACCTAGAGAGAGGTCCAAGTCGAAAAGGACACCCAGTTCATGGATCTGAGTGACAGGTAGAATGGTAGTGTTGTCCACAGTGATCAGTAAATGAGGTAGCAAGGAGATGTATGCATGCGAAGCTTTGCTTTAGCCATGTTGAGCTCAGTCAATGACTAGACATCTGCAAGATAACAGAGAGTCAAGCAAAGTTTTTAGTTTGGACAGAGAAGAAAAATCTGAAGTAGAGGTGTATCTGTGAGTTGTAAGCATAGAGATATTATTGTAGCTGAATTTGTGTTTGTGGGTGAGACTACCCAGAGATAAGATGGAAGAGGAGAAAAGAAGGGGACCCAAGGACAGAGCCCTGTGGAACCCCCACAGAAAGCTGGGGGTGGGGTGAGGGGAGAGAAGGGAGAAGAAAAGGATCATCTGAAGGAGGAATTATAAAAGTAGAAGAACCAGGAGAGGACACAGTCATGGAAGCCAAGAGAGTACATATTTCAAAAACAGCAGTCTACAGTGTTGAAGGTGGCGGACAGGTCAAGGGAGATGAGGATGCAGTACTGGTTCTGAGATTTGGCTAAGAAGAGGTAATTAGAGAGTTTGGAAAAAAAGAGGTTTCAGTTGAGTGCAAGAGGCAGAAACCAGAGCAGAGAGGGTCTAGGATTGAACTGGAGAAGAGAAGCTTCAAACAGCAACTGTAAACAGCCCCATTCAATGAGCTTAGAGATAAAAGGGAGAAGGGGTGATAGATGGAGAGGCAAGTGGGGTCAAGGGCAGTTTTAAGATGGGAAAGACTGAAGCATGTTTACATTGTGAGGAGAAAGAGTCAGAGAGAGGAGTGGGAGGCTGGCATTAGTGTTAACTTCCAAAATATATAGCCAAAGAATGGGGGCTCTCTTCAATAAAGCACATTTTCAACAAAAACAAGCTTTTTGTTAGGACTTTTAACTAACTTCTATGTGATTCTAAAAGCATCTCCTAAATATGACTTGATCCTGAACCTAGACACACTAATGTGGTCTCTATACCCAGGTAGAGCCCAGGGACTTCAATTGGGTCTACCCCCATGGATCCATTTTCAGAACTTGGGCCTATGTTTGTAAAGAATAGAATTCTAATACAGGTTACTGGCAGCTTCTCATTTGTATTGCACAGAGAGTGAGCATGACTGGACTGAAGCTAGGATATGGAAAACAACTATGATGGACACACGGGAACTTTTAAGCCAGTAGAATTGCAGTTTACTTTATTTTAAAATTCTATATAGGACAAAGCAGATTGCTTGATGAGCTGGAATCAGTATTAAAACCACTTTGAAAAGAGTTATTATATTTTTGTGCTTTATTTACATGCTTACCTTGTAATCCTTGAGCTATCTGTGACCCTCTCCATTTCTCATTTCCAATCACATGTCCGTAAGGGACACTGACAGCTCCTGCTTTGACAGGAGTGGTTTCTTTTGCTGTCATTTAAACTCCTTTTAAATGTTATTTACCAGCAGCTAAACAGGGGAATGTGAAAAATGTTATTTCATTCCTTACCACCCAGCCTCAAAATCCATCCAACAGTCTAGTCTGGCTGCAATCATCTGCAGCAGGTTCTAGCCAGTTCTTCAAAATGCACTGTATTAGATGGTTAAATAATAAAACAGGAGAGAAAGGATATTTTTGTGGTTCAAACACAGGCCTAGAAATCAGAAGAAGTAGGTTCTATTCACAGCTCCGCCATCAATTGGAAAAAAACCCAAATTTAAAGTTCAACCCCACAATTTCATCCATCAGTCTTCAAAAGCCCTTTCAATGCCTTCAGTTGTCTCTGAAAGTTTTTTGTATTTTAATAGAAAGGTCACTGAAGAAATATTTGCCAATGCCAAGTGGTCAAAAATCCAGAGTCAGACTCCCAGAAATGAGATTAGCTTAAAATATTTTTTTAAATTTTTTCTTCTAGTTTTGAGCCTTTGGGGCTCACATTTCCAAGCTTTTCTCTGTAACCATGAGGGTTAGCTGCATGTTTAGGTGCCCCTGTAATCACATGACTCCAAGAGACAAGACTTTAAGAAAAAACACCAAATACCCCATGAGTCAGTGATGTTGGGAACTGGTAGCTGTGCCAGAGAAGCCAACCCAGTCTCGCAGACAGACATTCACAGCACATACATTGCAGGACCCTTCCCGAGCGCCTAGCAGTCGTTCACACTGGGAGTGTCTGGGCCTCAGTGAGGCGAAGGCTTGCACTGACGCCGGCCCACAGCGCTCTGAACCTGCTGCTGTGAGGAAACAGGCCGTAGCCGTGCGGCAGGGCAGCGGCTGAACAGTGCACAGGGACCCCAGGCTCTGTCATCCCCATCGAATAGGAAAGCAGCAGCAGCACAAGCTCCCGCGCGAACCACCCGAGCGCTTTAAGGGGCTGGTCGGCCACGACACTAGTGTTAACGCCCAGTCGCTTACAGGAGCGCCATGGGATTATCCCCCTTCGTGGGAGATCCGCGCCGCTTTCGAGACCCCTCCCCCTCAACTGTCTAGAACGGCTAACCTCACCGTCCGGTGCCGCCGGAACCGCTGTCCTCGGCTCACGCGGCAGCCAGCAAACCAGACCAGAGCCGCGCCAAATGCTGAAGATGATTGACACAGGCAACCACCAATAGGAGTCGAGAGTCGCCAATAGCAAACGCAGGGCGGGAAGGTAGACATCGGTAACGGCTGAGGGTTGCTAAGGGGAGCGGAAGGTTAAGTCAGGCCAGCGCTGATTGGCTGCGGCTTTCCCTTTCTCCAATCAGGCACGCTGTTGTTGTAAAGCCGGTTGTGAAGGGGTCCGTTCTGTGAGTGGCAGTAGCGGTGGCCGTGGGGCTGGTCCAAGTCTGGCTTTAGTCTCTGCTTCTCAGCCTGCGCTCATGGCGCTTAGTTTCAGGAGAGGCCGGAAGGGCCCCTTTGTGAGTATTATCCTGCAAGTCCGAGGGGGGTCAAAGGTCAACGGGGGTCCCTGCCCAACGGAGGGGACCCCGGGGGCGTGGCCGGTGAGTGGGTGGACCCCCTTCTCCGCCCCCCCGCAGTGCTGAGCAAGAGGCGGCAGAGCTACGTGCAGTCCGGCTTTAGCCTGGCCCAGGTGGCCCCAGAGCCTGGAGCTGCCCCTTCTGCAGAGCCCGTGGTGAATGTGAAGCGCTTGCCAGGCCCCTGACACCAACCTCGAATCCCGTTATTACATGAGGATGGCCAAGAGTCCCACGTAGGAGAGGCTTGCGCGAACCGTCGTTATCCCTTCTCTGAGTGATGCTGGGGAGATGCCCCACCAACAGTTCAGCAGCATTTTCGCTTGTCTCTACTAGCTGCTGGGAAAAGGGGACCCGTCTAAACCCTGTAGATCAGCTGCTCCCCCACTAGGCAACGTAAATCTCATCATGCCTGGCGCTAGCCTGACATTGAAATTGCGGGTTCGGTGGTTTGTTCAATGTTCAAAACCAGAAGACGCGCCCCAGGTTGCACTGGATGATGCGGGGGAGTTCTGCGAAGGGAGTGGTTTGGCATCTGGGAGGAGAAAGTAAATAGGGCCCACTCTCTTTTCTCACTCAGTTCTTTAACTACCTCCTCTCTCTCCTGTCCCCACCCCCAAAGTGCCACACGGTGGCCCCCAGGGCCATCCCAGTCTATCATTCACCTTTGGGGCAGGGGAGAAGTGGGGATACCAATGCAGGCTGGGCAATAGCCACTTGTACAATATAATGCCTTTAGACTTGTCGTGCTGTCTGACTTTGTCCAAGAAACACATGTGCACGCACCTAGCTTATGCTGTTTCAGCAGTTCAGTTGGTAGTAGAAAATTTAGGTTACAAAGACTGCTTGGATTCACAAAAAAACAGCACATAACTTTTTTTAAACTGATTCGGACACAGATGCGTTGTTGGATTTCAGAGAACACTCAGAACGCACATTACAATATAGATAACCTAATTAATTGAAGTTTTTTCATTATGAGAATAAAAAAATGAATCGTTTAACTTTTTGTTGCTTTCTTGCTGCTCTGGGTGGAGTACTAGCCTGCTGTTCACACTGTTACTTTTACCTCTTAATAATAATAGGAAGACCTCCATACTAATTACGAGACCATTAAATGTTTCACTTAAACAAAATAGGATGGGTCATGTCAATTCAGAACATTGGCTATTAAATCCAGGACCTGGAAGCACAAGCCTCTACTTGATAATTCAGATGAAAGAGAGAGTTTTTGTAATGCACCACCAACTCAGGAGCTAGTAAATTAGTACAGTTACCTGAAAAGGCAAAATTCCTTCCCAATTTGTATAGCTGTCAGTTTACTCCCACATCAAGATAATAAAAGGACATTTAAGGATCAGAACAAATTCCCTTCAGCTGAAATCTTAAATACATACCCCCTTCTACTACCCAAAATAGTGAAATGTGCCCAGAGGGTTGGGCCCTGGTGCAGCAAACTCCTTTGTAAAAGAGTTACCAGTGCTAGTTCTACTCAACTAGTACTAAGCATTATGGAAGACTCAGGGGCTACTTCATAATATTTCTTCCCCATTTAAACAAAACTTTATGAATGATTTAATTTTAATTTATTTCCCCATCTCATGTTGCTCTATCTGGTGATTCCCTGTGACTAACTGAAGTGGTAGTACTGATAGACCCTTCAACTAGTGTCTTCTGCATAGTCATCTTCACTAGAGGAAGGATCACATTGTGGTAATGTTGGGGAGGCAGAGTTTAAAAAATTTGGAAGAAACACATTCCCTTTTGGCACCACTACCCCTAACATGCACAAAAAGTGGTGGTGGTAGCAAGTGCAGTTCAGAACCTTATTTTTGTGACTTGGGAGTAATGGGAAAAATACACGTGTGGGATTTGAATTAATCACAAACTCTTACCTAGTGGTAGCACTTATTAATATAATTTAAAAATCGTATCTAGAATCTCTTGAAATCATCTGTGGACATTAATTTGCATGTAAGTGTTCTCCCCTTTTGTGTTATTTTGTATCATGTGTATATGTTCAGTTTTGTGTTGTTATCCTTCTGATCATTGCCAACTAACTTTATTTTAAATTGTCTAGAAACATATATCTCATGGCCTGGTCCCTGCTGCTACCATAGCTCCTAAACCTGCAGTTCCCCGCACCCCTCCCCCTCGTAGTCCAAACCCTCCTCCAGAAAGGCCCAGGTAGGTTTTAAAGTTACTTCTTTTTCCTCTCTTAAGTATCATTAATTACAGTGGAATTACAATAATCAGTGTAGCAGAATTGTATGATTAGAATAATTGCATATCTATACTGTAGCTCTTATATGTAACCTTTTTCTCAAGTGGAATATATTTTCTGTATAGGACAATTTGTTTGAACTACTAAGATCTATATTCTTCTCCCCTTCCCAGAAGCATTCTTAATACCAGAATAATGCCAAAGCCATATCCTGTAGCCTTTATGTACATGTAACTCCTGTTAAAATTACTAGGAATTGTTACATGCAGTAGGTCTAATTTGGACTATTTTTTGTCTAAGTGGAGCTTATCATAAGACCATAAGAATGGCCCTACTGGGTCAGACCAAAGGTCCATCTAGCCCAGTAGCCTGTCTTCTGACATTGACCAGTGCCAGATGCCCCAGAGGGAATGAACAGAACAGGTAATCATCAAGTGATCCATCCACTATCGCTCATTCCCAGCTTCTGGCAAACAGAATTCCTCTTAATTCATATAATCAAGGATTAAATACAGGTGTGAGAAGCACTATGATTTCTTGACAATTCGAAAAGACACTTGTTTTAAGTTTTGACAAAAGTTAATTTAATGTGTGTTTAGAGGTTTCAGAGTAACAGCCGTGTTAGTCTGTCTTTGCAAACAGAAAAGGAGTACTTGTGGCACCTTAGAGACTAACCAATTTATTTGAGCATGAGCTTTCGTGAGCTACAGCTCACTTCATCGGATGTTATTAGAGTACAGCAAATTTTAATGGAGGTTATTTGAGTTTCCATTTTCTTGTAGTTAGTCTAGCAGTACAAAAAATCTGTTTCATGAAAACTGAGGATCTGGATATTCAATATTTAATGAAGGCCAGCAGCATATCAAGCATTCTAAATGTAGACAAAGGTCCCTGACCCAGCAGCTTCAAGTTTAAGAACGTGATGCTGTTGCCCCCCACAGGCAAAATTCCCATTAGTTTGCTTACAGAGTGACTGCATTATCAGGCCCTGTCAAGGTTCCTTCACCACTCTGAACTCTAGGGTACAGATGTGGGGACCTGCATGAAAGACCTCCTAAGCTTATTCTTACCAGCTTAGGTTAAAAACTTCCTCAAGGTACAAAGTTTGCCTTGTCCTTGAACCCTATGCTGCCACCACCCAAGCGTGTTAAACAAAGAACAGGGAAAGAGCCCACTTGGAGACATCTTCCCCTCACAAATATTCCCCCAAGCCCTATACCCCCTTTCCTGGGGAAGGCTTGATAAAAATCCTTACCAATTTGTACAGGTGAACATAGACCCAAACCCTTGGATCTTAAGAACAATGAAAAAGCAATCAGGTTCTTAAAAGAAGACTTTTAATTAAAGAAAAAGTAAAAGAATCAACTCTGTAAAAATCAGGATGGTAAATACCTTACAGGGTAATCAGATTCAAAACATAGAGAATCCCTCTAGGCAAAACCTTAAGTTACAAAAGGACATAAAAACAGGAATATACATTTCATTCAGCACAGCTATTTTACCAGACATTAAACAAAAGAAATCTAATGCATTTCTGTTCCCAGCAAAAGCATCACACAGATAGACAGACCCTTTGTTCCCCCCTCCCCAGTTTTTAAAGTATCTTGTCTCCTCATTGGTCATTTTGATCAGGTGCCAACGGGGTTATCTTAGCTTCTTAGCCCTTTACAGGTGAAAGGGTTTTGCATCTGGCCAGGAGGGATTTTATAGTTATGTATACAGAAAGGTGGTTACCCTTCTGTTTATATTTATGACAGGCCCTAAATAAGACCACCAGTACAAAAGAAGGCCCCAGTTCTGCAGTTCATAACATGCAGACAGGTAGGCAGCCTGACCCTGTGAACATGTGTACATGAAAGTAGTTGAGTTCATTGGGGCTACTCATATGTATGTTGAAATGAGAGGTATATGATCAAGTAGTAGGTTTTTATTTGGGGAGAGGAATTTTTCATAAGGAGTGGAATAAGATTATTTTTAAAAAGATTATTATTAAAGTAACTGCAAAAAAATGCAACCTCAGTTAAATCAGAATTTAGAAACCAAATTAAAATCTAAAAGAAAAAAAGTTTGTATGACTGAATTAACACCAAAAAGCTGGTTTGAAGGAAAACAATTAAAAAAAACAAAAGCTTTCCTACTTCACTGTACTTAGGTGCTGTCAGGACTGACTTTAGAAGTACTGGTCTCCTCAAGTGAAGAATGCATTAATATCCCTACACTAAAGGAAAAAAAGTTTACAGTTTATTAAATAATTATGTAATTAAAAGTGTCACCCCTTCAACAGGTGCTCCTAAAATAGGTGTGAAAGTAAGAAAATTAAATAAAACATCCTTTGAGTTAGCAATGCATACCATTTGCACCATATAAATGTTATAAGTTATTTTTCTGTTCCTTTCCATTTTTAGTCCCCTACTGCAGTTCACTTTCTCTCCTTTCTGTACATTTCCCCTCACTCCTGTGGTTGTTTTTCAGTCTTCTTTCTGTGTCAGTCCCCATCTGTTTCCTTCCTGTGTCTAGTATGTCCTCAGTCAATCCCAGTTCATTCTACCTTCTCTTTGGCTCTCAAGTTCTCTCTTTTCTTGTGATTTTATTTCACCTTTTTTACTCTGATTCCATTGTTTTTTTCTTTCCACCTTCCTCTCCTCACCCTTCAACTCCATCCTCCCAAAATACACTCCCTTTCCCTTATCCCAGTTCACAATCCTACAGCATTAGTTGCCAGCCTCAAAGTCAACAGCAGAAACAGAGTAGGGAATATAGGCCCACCAACTACATTGAAGGATGTGGGGTTCTCCTTACAACATGTCACCTGCGGATGATACTGGGTACTGTGGAATGCTTGAGGCAGATTCTGCCCTCAGTTTAACATGTGCAAGTCCATGAAAGTAACAGATTTCTGTGCATGTGATGTAATGAAGTGTGATACGGTACACATTTTACACAGAATTCTGCAGTGCCTAGTTATAGCTGAGTTTATGTCTTAACTATCTTTGTGCACTGGTGGTTTAAATCAGTTCCTTTAATATTTTAAGATTTTTTTAATTATATGATTGTTAAATCTTAAACTTTGTGCTGTTGCCTAATTAATGAAGGTACTTCACAAAAGGTACAGATAACATTTTTGAGCCATAGAGAATACATTACTGCGTGTTTTATTTCACTGTTTTATTTTGCTTTCTTCTAGATCTGCCCTAGCAGCAGCTATTCTAGTGACAACTTTAACTGGGCGTACCATTGCTATTCCCCAGCCTCGTCAACGATCACTTTCTGAAAGTGATACCAGCTGTTTGGAACAAGAGTGTTTTATTGAGCCCTATGCCACAGTCACTGAGCTCAAACTGGGGTAATGTACACTTTCTGTTCTAGCACCTCACATAGGAAGTAAAATCTGAAAATATGGTGGTACTCATAATAAGAGTTATGTGAAATCTTTTCAATCCCTAGCACTGAAATTACTCATTTAAACTTATCTTTTCCCTTCAATGTCCTAGACTGAGTCCAGAGTGCACCCATTCCCCTTCCCCCATTTTCTGTTTCACATATGGCAGTGTTATAACCACATATTCCAGAGGGGAAAGACTAAATAGTGCAGCAAGGCATACCAGTAAAAATGTGTGCATGAATGTTTGCCAACTCACTCCAATTTGCACAATTATTCTTGGGGAATAATCTGAGTTGCACATAAGGTAATTCCCTTGACCCATACTATATTCTCCACAGACTACTCCATATGTAGAAATGGTAGACCTCTCTTTCTCTGTCCCCAATCTGGCAGTCCCATAAAAATACACTGTTTCGTGTGTCTAACTACCAGAGGCGGGAGATGCAAATTTCCAATTTCACTGGCATAAACAAGAGTGTGAACAACTGAAATTCTGGACCATTGTGTTTGCCGCTAAAGAATTTAGTTGTCTTTTTTGGGCATTTGTTGTTGCATCTGATATATATGTTCAGTGTGATCTTTTCAGCTTTACTAGTCTTTGTTCTTTGGAAAATAATCGCTTTGTATTTTAAAGTGTTCTCCATTTGCAGGCCCAATTGGAAGCATGATGATAGTGAAAGATCTCCTGTGCAATCGCTGGAAGTGTCAGACAGTCATTGTGAAGATGAAGACATGGACACATATCTTTCAGAGACAGAAAAAGAGCCAGAGCACAACTATCAGAGTACAGCGAAAAGAGAGGAAAACTTCAGCAATGATGCTATTTATGCTGTTCCCTACAAAAATCAAAAGGTTGGTCACTTAGTTGCTTTTTCAAATTTTAATACAAAATGTAAGAATCTGAATGTCTGAAAAAGGGTTATTATATCTTTTTCTACTATTCATACACATAGTTTCCAGTTTTCATTTTTAATTCTTACCTCATGCTTCACTTACCTCTGGTTGGAGTTCTCCAAGTTAGTTTCATTCACACATCCACAGTTACCCACTTACTTTTCTGATAGGTTTGGGGTTTCTTCTATCAGAATGATTTAGAAGTTGCCAGGGAACATATGTGGTATTTTGGCACCTTATTTTACATTCAGTGAGAATGCATAATTGGCTGAGCAAAGCATGCAACCCTCAGTCCACATTTTGGAAGCAAAATTTTCCACAGAGGCTGCAGTCCAACCTTATTTGACACCTGCAATTTTGCAGGCACAAATGACAGATTATAGGTATCTGTTAATGTGATATACAGCTGCAAATGTTTGTGGGCACAAATCAGATATCAATTTAAACTCTGTCATTTGTACCCTCAGTTGTTTACACTGGTAAGATTAGAAGCTCTTATTGAAAATTTGTCCCCAGAGTTTCACTGCTGGGCTTATAGAGGTGTTCAGTACAGTGAGTATGAAACTGATACTGTAGAGGGGAATGGCTTGGAGAGCTCAAGTCATGTGAATTATAAACTGGATTGGAATATATTGGAATATTGATTTTTCTTTGGATGTTTGTGTGTTGTATACATATAAACACACACAAACAACTACATTAAAAGAACATCACTGGTGCAAAATCAACCACTCAAAAATTAGGTAGTGCCAGTCTTAAGGTTGCCTGTGCAATCTGAACTCATCTGCCTTGTGTGCACAATGATACAGTTTTTAATTACATTACAAACTCTCTTTTCCACAGGACATTTACCTCATTTGAGGCACAGAATGAACAGTGATCATTTAATGAGCAGCTGTTTACTGTTTTGTTTTCATTGTTCAATGTGTGGTCTTGGGTCTTATTTACTATATTGTATTTCAGGGTTTCTCAAACTTCATTCCACCGTGACCCCCGGGGCAAAAAAAAATGACTATACGACCCCAGCAAGGGGGACCAAAGACCGAGCCCTTCTACCCCGGGCGGGAGGGGGAGTGGTCTGGTCGAAGCTGACGGTTCAGCCCTGCACCCCTGAGGCGGGCAGAGACTAAGCTTGAGGGCTTCAGCCCTGGGCGGTGGGGGCTGTAACCTAGCCCTGCCCCCCAGGGCTGAAGCTCTCAGGCTTTGGCTTCAGGTCCGTGTGGTGGGGCTCAGACTTCTGGCTTCCGCCCCAGGCCCCAGCAAGTCTGGCGACCCCATTAAAACAGGGTCGCAACCCACTTTGTGGTTCCAACCCACAGTTTGAGAACTGCTGTGCTATTCAAATCTTGTGCCGAATTATTAGTTTCCTTATGGGCTTTTCTGTGGAGCTCATCACTGTGTCCAAGTGCTTCACAAACATTAATTTATCTTCACAACGCCCCTGTGATGTGAAGGAGTAATATTATCTCCATTGTACAGATAAGGGGCTGAGGCACAAAGAGATTAAGGTCAAAAACATCCTCTAATTTTGGGTGCCCAATACAAGATGGCTAGGACCTGATTTTTCAGAGATCTTAGCATTATATAATACTTTGTATGTTCAAAGTGCAGCTCCCATTGACTTCAGTTGCCACTGTGAGCGCTCAGCACTTCTGCAAACCAAACCTCAGGCTATCAAGGGGGACACCCAGAAAATGAGAAACACACAATTAATGACCAGCTGTGAGAAAATTGGTTTGTATGACTTGCCTGGCATCACACAGGAATTCTATGGCAGAGGCAGGGATAGACTTGAATTCTCCAGCCCAGCATTCAGCTGCCTTAACCATGAGACCATCCTTATTCTTCCTGCATTCGCCTGCCTCCTTTCCTACTTGTGCAACAAATGAGGCAGGGATCTTACAGTCAACTATGCTACCTTGATTCATCTCCAAAGCAGGTCCAGCTTGTGGACTGCAAGAGGCATGGGTCCTGTGGAAAAAAATAGTATTATGTGATTTAAGACTGTATCATAATGTTTACAAACAAGGCCAAATTAAGGTTGGACAGGTAACCTTAATTCTGGCATTTCTTAAACTTTAGTGCTTAATGTCGCAATTTCAATTACATTTTTTCAACATAAGAAATTATACAAAAACTAAGTTTTTAAAAAACAACCCGAAACCCGAAATCACATCATATTGATACCCAAATGGCATTATACTGACACCCACATGGGTCATTAACAGGGTTGCAACATTTAGCCCACCTTACAGACCTCTATCATTTGAGCTAACAGAGTAACTTATAACAATAGTAAGAAGTCATCCTCTCTGTGGACCAGCAATAGAGGGGGATGTGACACACTTTACCATTGGGTCTGAGAGCTGTTTGCTGACAGCAGAGGAATGATGAGACTCTGAAATCGTGGATTCCATTTCAGGCTCTGGAGAGGAATGGCTCAAGTGGTCCCAGACCCTTCTGTCTGTCCCTGCCTTACCCTACAAACTTGACCCCTTCTACCTAAACCATTCCTATCACCTTTCCAATCCCAGATTCCCCTTTGATGCTCCCTCACCGTTCCCAGTCTCCCGCCCCTCTTCCCCACACACACACCAGGACTCCTTGCTCAGCCAGTCTCGGTGTTCCTCCCCATCCCAGCTCCTCATCCAATCTGTTTTTTCCCATCTTTCTGGCCTCCAGTCATCTCCCCACTCTCTGGGCTTCTTATTCAAATCTCAGTCTCTGTCCCCCACCTCGCTCCCTTGTCCCAGTTTCTTCTCCCAGCCAGTCTCAGTTCTCCCCACAACCCTCGCTCCTTGTCAAATCTGTTTCCACACACACTCCCACTGCTTCCTAGGCCCAGTCTCTTTGTCCAGCTGTTCCCAGCCTCCCCATTCCTCATTCAGTCTCAGTGCTCCCTCCCTCTCCAGCCATCTGGCTTTGAGTCTCTCCCCATCTCACACACAGTCTCCTTGCCCAACCCGTTTCAGCCTTTGTGTTTTGTCAACTTCAATCGCCTTCACCCATCCCCAAGTCCAGTCCCAGTGTCACCTGGCTTCTTCTGCCAGTCTAGTCCTTTCCTTCCCCCCGGTCCTTCCCTTGTCCCCTCTGCATTTGAGTCAGGCAGCTTCCTCCTTTGTGCTACGTGGGTGCCAGCAGGAAATCACTGAGAGAGCAGGAGAGTCAAGATCTTTGCTCTCAGTTCCAGTGCCTGAACCCACCCCAGAACATCTGGAAGCAGCAACTGTAAGGGAAGTCTTGCATTGCCCCTATAGCCCTGGGGTGGAGCATGCTCAGTCAGTCTGTGAGGATGGTGCATGTGCATTCTGGTCAGCTGCACAGTGAGGAAATTTGGAAATTTTAGCAGTTGAACTTTAAAAATCTCTATTGAGCATACGTGAGCCAGTATTTTTAAGAGACTTAGAATTTGGCCAAATTTAGATGGGTTATCACAGGAAAATCAAAAGACGTGTCCCTCACAAAATGGCTACCCTCTTCCCCCACTCCCAGCCAGATCTAGAGTCCCTCATGAAAACATGAGGGCAATATAACTTGTCAGAGAAAAGGTTGCCTCCTTTTTCAATGTCAAAACATTTTTCCTTCTTCATGTTCTCAGAAACAGTTGAAACTTCAGATAAAACTTCCCAATAAAATTCAACCTGAGGCAGGTATTGAGTCTGGAAAATTTCAGCCCAATTGGATAAAGTTTGACAAAATTATGAATAACTGAAAACATGGTTTTATAATGGGAAGTATCAGACAACCTTAAAAATTGCTTATTTTTATGGGCCTACCTATAGCTGGAGGGACAGTAAGAGTTGGTAGCATAGTTTTAGCCACTCAGGACCCCAAACCTGTCACTAAGGAGGTGTGATTGTTCCCAAGTTACATTAAATCAAATAGCTTCACAGAGCATTTATTAACCAGCAGAAAAAATAAAGCATCCTACTCTTTTAAGGACACCATATACCCACAACTGGGAATTCTCCGCCCTAATCAAGGGTAAAGGTACCTGTCAAGATTTCCCTTAACCGGATCCAAAATAAAAGGACAAAATAGTTTTTCACTTACTGTTTTCCCCACAGGATAGGACAGTTTTCTCCTGGGATCAAGATTTTCTGTACAGCATATTTTTCATGAGAGTTTTGTTCCAGTCCAGGAGCCTCCTAAACCTCTTTTTCTTCCCAAAAAGGAATAAATCCATGTACTAATACCTTCTGTTTATTTCTTCCTGTTCTAATGAGCCCCAGCTGGAGGATCCACCCTTCATAACTGGTTTCAGAGAAGCAGCCGTGTCAGTCTGTATTCGCAAAAAGAATAAAAGAATAAACGGAGACAAATCAGATGTCAAGAATTATAACATTCATAAACCAGTCGGAGAACACTTCAATCTCTCTGGTCACACGATTACAGACATGAAAGTTGCGATATTATAACAGAAAAACTTCAAAACTAGACTCCAGCGAGAGACTGTTGAATTGGAATTCATTTGCAAATTGGATACAATTAACTTAGGCTTGAATAGAGACTGGGAATGGTTAAATCATTATGCAAGGTAACCTATTTCCCCTAGTTTTTTCCTACCACCCCCCCACTGTTCCTCAGACGTTCTTGTTAAACCCTGGATTTGTGCTGGAAATGGCCCACCTTGATTATCATACACATTGTAAGGAGAAAAAGAGTACTTGTGGCACCTTAGAGACTAACCAATTTAAATAAATAAATAAATTGGTTAGTCTCTAAGGTGCCACAAGTACTCCTTTTCTTTTTGCGAATACAGACTAACACGGCTGTTACTCTGAAACCTGTCATTGTAAGGTGAGTGATCACTTTAGATAAGCTATTACCAGCAGGAGAGTGGGGTGGGGGGAGAGAAAATCTTTTGAAGTGATAAACTCCCATTTTTTCATGGTCTGTGTTTATAAAACATCCTCACTGCATTTTCCACTTTATGCATCAGATGAAGTGAGCTGTATCTCACGAAAGCTTATGCTCAAATAAATTGGTTAGTCTCTAAGGTGCCACAAGTACTCCTTTTCTTTTTCCTTCATAACTGGAAGCCCAGACAGTTTCTTTGGTGTGAGGAAGGCCCCTCTCTCATTTCCTCCACTTCAGGCTGTGAATCTTTTCCTTGCCTGTTTGGATTTGGAGTCATTCCATCTTGGAAAAAAATAATTCTGTTTCTTGCAGTATTTTCTCAAGACATAGTAGGAAATAACTTGTTACCTTGCATATAAAGGTATTTCAGGGAGCCTAATGATCAGTAACATCAAAACTGCTGCTTTTATTAATCAAAAGGTAAGCTAAAGAATAAATTTTGTTCCTAATGTATTAGAATTGCCTGAATTTCTGGTAAATTTAAAACAATGTATGCATTGAATGTTATGACTATCATCTCTAGCAACCAAGTAAGTGGCTCTTTTGTGCTTAGACACATTAGGAATTGAAAATATATATGTTCAGCTAGAAAAGTTACAGATACCTGGTATAGAAGGATTCTCTCATTCACCAACAAGTAAAAAACAATCTGCAACTTAACTTGGAAAACTTTTGTTTGATTTACACATTACACCCCATTTCCTGATTCTGCTTTCACACCTGTTTTACACTAGTCTGTCCCCATTGACGTAAGTGGAATTAATTCTGAATGACATTGGTATAACAGAAATAGGAATCAGTTCCATCACCTTTGCTTTATGTAAACGTTGACATCATTTTATGTATATTTCTTAATGCAAGAGAGTCTTGAGTCCTGGCACCAAAGGATACATTCACTGGCCTTACTTCAGTTACAAATAGAAAACTGATATAATCGTGGCCATAAGGTGGAGCTGTTTCTATATTTTATGGGTTTTTTATGACAAAATATAGGGTGAAATCAAGTTTAAAATAAAAGAATTGCAGTTTCAAAGTAGTTTAAAAATTTTTACATTTATTTGAAATATATTTTCTGGAAGGGACGCTGTGAAGGCTGGTTGGCCTGAAAGTTGACCTACCAGCTTTTTATTGATGCATAAAAATAGTTAAACTCTACAAAACAGTATACTGGCAAAATTGAACATCAGTTTAGGCTATTCAAAAACCTACATAATGATTAGAAATAGCAGACTCCATTTCTTTAAACTTGAACAACTGAGTGAACATAAAGAAAAGGAGTACTTGTGGCATCTTAGAGACTAACACATTTATTTGAGCATAAGCTTTCGTGAGCTACAGCTTATGCTCAAATAAATTTGTTAGTCTCTAAGGTGCCACAAGTACTCCTTTTCTTTTTGCGAATACAGACTAACACAGCTGCTACTCTGAAACCTGAGTGAACATAGTACCTATTTACTTATTTATTTACTAAGATATATTAAGAGCATCCTTTCAAGCTCTGTGCACATATACAAACAAAAGGATAAATAAAACCAAAACCTCCATCACCCAAAGACACTAAATGATATAGCACATTTTAATAGCACACTTAGCTCATTTAATAAGTTAAGTCCTAATGCAACCACCACCACTAAATAATAATTTGCACTCAACCATTCCCAACCGCATCCTTCAACCCACTCTTCCCTGAAAAGCCTGGGGAAATAGATGAGCGTCTGCAGCAGGCTCTGAAGGCCAAATAATCTGGCCTTTGTCAGAGTAGGTGGGAGGTGAGTTAGAGTCAAAGGCCTGTCATAGAGATGGAGCTGTTAGATTGAGCATCTTTGCAGATGTTCACGGTGTGCTTCAGTATTACCTGAAGAGACAGGTGGTCCCTCTGATAGTCTGGACCCAAACCATTGAGCATTTTACAGGTGAAAAAACACTTAAAATTCTACGTGGAAACTAGTTGGAAGCCAGTACAGATCTCAGACTGTTAGTATAATGTTCTCTGTGCTTGTAGCACCACTTAATATGCAGACATCTATGTGCCACACCAATTTATGTTTCCAAATACCTTAAAGTGTAGCCCCATTGACAGTACATTTGAATAATCTAATCTTGAAGTGATGAGGGATGCATAGTCCTCAGAATCAAAATCTCTTTGGGGTTATTGTTTCATCCAGTCTAATTGCAGATTCAAGTGTCAAACAGGAACTGATTTACTGTATGTTATAAAGATTACTTTTTAAACTAGAAGTACAAGAAATACCACTTTTACAAATATTGAAAGCTTAGATACTGCTCCAGTATCACAGTAATGAGCAGATAGATGCCTATGTGAGGAAGTGGAAATTTTTTGTAATATGTTTATGATTCCTATATGTGCCTCAGTTTCCCTCTGTACTTTGCATTCCCACCCAGTGATGGGCAAAAGGGTTAACACTGCTCTTGGAACAGCACAGGAGATATGAAGTGTATGTGTCACTTCCTTATCTGGGTGAAATGTCTGGGTTGTTAAGGTACTGGTTGAAATTAACCCAGATCAACAGAGGGTCCAGAAAGTGAATGATCTACATTCAACAGTGAGAAGCAGTGGCAGGCGGGGGTTGTGAACTCAGGTTTGACTGCTCTCACCTGCGGTGAGAAAAGAGAGAGAGAGACGGACAGAGATGGAGTCCATTTGCACTAGCTTAGATGGTTTGGACTATGGCTAACCTTTGCCTGTCTTTGCAAACCTATGGACTTGCAGATTCTGTAGGCTGCCTGCTGTCTCTGGAAATATTCGCTGGGAGTTGAAGGGGTACAGTACACGCCTTCCATTGGAGTCTGGCGTGGCTGGATGTGCTGCAGGGAGCCAAGGAGAAAGACAGGGTTTGCAGTGCCTGAAGGCCCAGTCTTGGAGGTTAGGGACCTGCCCCTGCAGAACCATGTGGGTCCTCAGGGCCTGGCACACTGAAGGAATCACTCCCAAGGGACTGGTTACAAGCTGAGCATTCACCAGATCCTGTGGATCCATGACAGCATGCCTAGAGACTGAGAGATTGTGAATCGTACAGGAGTTATCAGAAAGACCCCGTATCTTTGATACCAGTAGATTTTTCCATGTTGTGGATTTGGATTTTCTCTGCCTATGAGAGAGAGCAGTTTAACACTCCTAGGGCATATGTAGAGTGCAATTTGGAGCTTTGTGCCAAAATGATATTAAAAATTTAACAGACAGAAAGAAAAGTAACAGAGTAGATGAGAAGCAGCAAAATGCTATGTCTGTGAAAGGAAGCAAAAAATACCCTTAGGTGAAGCAGAGAGAGGGTAGTCAGTGAAAGGGAAGAGAGAAGTGTACGGAGTGCTGGTCTGTAGTTGACAGGTAAAACAGCTCAGACAATACAATCTTAAGGTATATTATATTCTTGATTCCCTAAATATGCACACAGTAATTTTATTGAACAGGTTGAGATATATTGTATATATGTTTTATGTATAAACAGTGAGTTTAGATACTGTATGTAATAAGTGAAAGATAAGGTGCTTTTACAGACTTATTAACTGAGCAAAATAGAGGGACTATTACCTTGTTGTGACCTAAGTGATTGTGATTTAAGTATTATATTAAGAGATTTCTGTGCAACAATCATTCTAAGGACTGGTGTGAGCGTTAATGCTATAAATGTGTCACATGCGCTTGCATGCTTGCAAATGTTCATGGTCTGTTTTTAGGATGTTAATATGGTTACTTCTCTGTGATATTTTCATCCAGGGACAGCTTCCAGTATCTCCTAGTGTTGATGTTGATGAGAATGAAATTTCTTCCCATGAAGCTACGTTTCCGATTTTAGTAGACCAGTCAAATATACAAGTGGAAGGTAAACAAACATACTTTTAAAGTGATTTTTTTCTACTTTTTAACCTTCCAGGGTAACTACTAACTATGGTATGCAATCTGTTGCTTAAATCAGCCTCAGTACCAGATGATGGGAGGATAGCTATTGTAACGCCTATTTTAAAAATGTCCCCAGCAATGTTCCCTCTAATTTTTAACAGGCCGTGTGCGCAAAAAATTTCATCTGTGCCACCGCCAAAGGAAAAAAAAAAGACGGAGTGCCGCCACCGAAGCAAAAAAAAAAAAAAGCCAAAGCTGGAGTGCACGGTGTTTCTCTGTGTGTGCGGGGTTTAAGATCTATGTGCACACGCGCACAGCTTAGGGGAAACAGTGGTCCCCAGAGGTGATCCTGGCAATTACAGGCCTAACTTCCATAACATGCAAATTGTTTAGACTACAGTAAAGAATAAATTTATCAGACACAGTGATAAACACAGTGTGTTTGAGAAGAGTCAGTAGCTCTTTTGTAAAGGGAAATCATGCCTCACCAATCTATTAGAATTCTTTGGCCAGTCAGTAAAGATGGACAAGGGTGATCCAGTCAATATAGTACACTTGGACATTCAGAAAGTCTTACAGACAAGGTCCCTCATGAAAGGCTCTGAAACAAACTTAGCAGTCATGTGATAAGAGGGAAGGTCCTCTCATGGCTCAGAAACTGGTAAAACGATAGGAAACAAAGGGTAGGACTAAATGGTCAGTTTTCACAATGGAGAGAGGTAAATAGTGGGGTCCCCCAAGGATCTATACTGGTACTTGTGCTGTTCAGTCTATTCATAAATGATCTGGAAAAAGAGGTGAACAGTGAGGTGGCAAAATTTAAGGACAATACAAAATTATTCACAATAGTTAAGTCCAAAACTGACTGCGAAGTTACAAAGGGGTCTCGCTAAACTGGGTGACAAAATGGCAGATGAAATTCAGTGTTGATAAATGCAAGTAAATAAATAATCCTAACTATACATACAGAATGATGGGGTCTAAATTAGTTATTACGACTCAAGAAAGAAATCTTGGATAGTTCTCTGAAAACATCTGCTCAATGTGCAGCAGCAGTCTAAAAAGCTAACAATGTTAGGAGCCATTAGGAAAGGGCTCGATAATAAGATAGAAAATATAATGTCACTATATAAATCCATGGTATACCAACACCTTGAACACTGTGTGCAATTCTGGTCACCTCATCTCAAAAAAGATACATTAGAATTAGAAAAAGTGAGAGAAGTACAACAAAAATGATTAGAGGTATGGAACAGCTTTGAGGATTGGGACTGTTCATTTTACAAAATAGATGACTAAGCAGGGATATGATAGAGGTCTATAAAATCATGAATGGTGTGGAGAAAGTGAATAGGGATGTGTTATTTACCACTTCAACTATCACAAGAATTAGGGGTCACCTGAGGAAATTGATAGGTAGCAAGTTAAAAAAAAAACATAAGGAAGTACTTCTTCAAACAATGCACAGTCAACCTGTGGAACTCATTGCCATGGGATGTTCTGAAGGCCAAAACTATAACTGGGTTCAAAAAAGAATTAGACAAGTTCATGGAAGATAGGTCCATCAATGGCTATTAGCAAAGATTGTCAGGGACGCAACTCCATGCTCTGGGTGTCCCTAAACCTCCAACTGCCAGAAGCTGGTCCTGGATGTCAGGGGATGAATCATTCAAAATTGCCCCATTGTGTTCATTCCCTCTGAAGCATCTGGCAGTGATCAGAGGTAGGATTCTGGCCTAGATGGACTGATCTGACCAGTATGGCTGTTCTTTGTCTTCAGTAAGGCCAGGATCTTTATCCAAAACTTTGCCTTCATACAAATTTGTATGATCTGAAACTACCTATTATGTGTCAGTCCTTTTATGCAGCCCTACTAAATAGCCATCCCCAAAGACTTCAGTAAAGCCTTTATTACTTTACTGTCTTCTTTATTTCTCCTATCATTAACATTTTTCTGCCCACTGAAGAGCTTTCAGTTTTAAAGCCTACTATTTCAGTGACTGTTTAGGTTATGTGACTCCTTATTTTATTTACTGATATTGAGAAATCTGTATTCCTACAACAGCAGTCTAATCAGCTCTTTAGAAAGAGCTGAGCCAGTCACCCAATTGGCAAGAAACCTGTTTCTCAGTAATAACCCTACTTAGAATATCAACTGCTGTGGACATCAGGATTCATTAAGCCATGACTGCTCTAATACTAAATCAGAATGCTATATTGAAGCAGGTGGATGTCTTTTTGTGAACTGTTCAAATCTGAAACATTTGCTTCTGAATTTTTCTGTTGTCCAGGGTCTCCTGGACAAGGTTGTACATGATGGGTGAAATCCTGGCCCCCTTGAAGTCAATGTATTACCATTGGCTTTAAAGAATCAAGAATTCACCCTAAAGTTGTAGGCATGTTAATATCAGTAACTTTTTCACACATTTCATTTAATCAATCAGGTCCTTGTGACTTGTAGGACTTGCAGTCTCCAGTGGATCCCAGGGCTTTGTTGTATTGCTGTTGCATGTGTGCTCAGTCCCACGGAAGTCAATAGGAGTCATGTGTGTTCAGCAGTAACAGGAAAGAGCCACCAGAGTTTAATTTTCTCTTGCTCCTCGTGCAGAAAAAATAAGATTTTGGTGTAAGTTTGTATGTTTTTCTGTGGGAGCAGAGTCAAAGGAGTATTCGTTTGGAGGTCAGGACTGATAACACACAAAATGTATTTTGCAGTAGTTTGTATTCCACTGCTGCTCTATGATTGAGCAAACATTAATGTCAAGAGTTTCTTTGTATCTGCATTTCTTACAAGAAAATGTATTTCTAGTTATAAAATGGATGTTGGAAGATATATGTCTAATACTGGAGTTTGTGTTTACAGTAGTATTATTTGTACATTCTCCCTATCATACATAAGGGATTCCCATAGAAGTTATATGCAGGAATCAGAGGTAAAATCTTCCCTACATTTGAAACTGAAGCAGTTTTAACTTGTATATACCAAACATGCTCTGTTTTCATTTGATATCTTTTTGTTCAATGTTCCCATTTAGCATCTTATAAAATAAGTTTTTTAGGGGGAATTTAAGTACTTAGGAAGAGAAGGGACTAACAGCACTTTCTTGAGCTAGCCATATTATTGTCAGTTGATATTATAATATTATAATGTTGATATTATAATAAAATGTCTGGATTATAATGGCAGAGGAGTTAAATTATCTAATCTGTGCACTCATTTGGGAATATTTGCTTAATGTGGCCTGCAGTAGGTTTGCATTTCCCTATAGTCTTATGATTTATGGACTTGTAAAGATTTTTGTTTTGAATTGATTCAAAGACCATCTTTTTTTTTTCCTTAACAGAAGATGAACCTCCTGTTTTGAATGTAAAGGTAAGAGTTTGGTGAAGGTATTGATTACAATGCATTTTGAAAAAAAGTGTCATCCGTGATTGATGATTAAGAATTGCTCTGATGAGAATTATTTTGTTGTCACCAGGGAGCCTTTTACAATTGACCTACAGGTTAATTGTGATAATCATTTATTTTGAAAGATCCCAAAGCACATTATATGGACGGTCTCTATATAGGGATCATTCACCCTTTAGTGAAATGCAACCACTGTTGAGGTGGAGCACAACAGCAATGCAGGATGCAGAAACACTACATAACAGATTCAGACAAGCACTGAGGAAGAAATAAGTGAAAATGCAAGGGGAATTTAGGGAGGTAGCATATAAAAACAAGAGACGCATGTAAGTGGTAAAGTTCAGAATCTGTTCCAAGCTTCAACAAGGTTAAGGGGATTTGGTGTTCCAGTTGGGCCATCCCTAATACTAACCTGAGCTATATTTTGGCCAGGACACTGGGTTTAACAATTCCTACTCTTGTGGAAAGTAATGTAGGCTCAATGTCCCATAATTACCTTGCTGGGACATTGGTTTACTACCAGTGGAGGAAGTGAGTGCCCCATCAAACCTCCAGTGTTATAATTTCTTCTTTGGGTGCTTGTCTGTATATATTCCACCCCGTGCACTTGAGATTGGATTCATTTAGCCAGCAGTTTCGTTGGCAGTTACGATTGTGCTTTGAGTGTCCACATGTCTCCAGCTGAGTGCGCAAAAGATGGGGCAACCCCAGCCACCTTTCAGTCCCTTCTCACCACCACTGGCTATACAAGTCAGAACTGGCAGGGTCCGAGTTTCTTCATTCACTGTGCTGACTATTCTTTGTTATGTAAACAGTAAATATGGGTACTTAGCAGTTAATCAGTCGTTAGTGCTACACAGTAATTCACTCCTTTGTTTACCTGTGAGTTAGGCCCTGTTGCGGGGTACATCATTATGACTGAACACAAATCTCCAGGTTTTAAAAATTGTCCTTCATATTAGGCTGAAATGCCTCTCAATGATGAGCACACCATTTGTTGATTGTGTCTGGGTGAGAGGCACATTGCAAAAAGATGTGCTCTCTGTAAATTATTTTCTAAAAGAACCCAAAGAGCTAGGAAATCTTATCTGAAAATGCTCCTGCTGAAAAGGTCAGTGCATCCTGCGGAAGTGTCAGGAGTAAGGTCCTGCAGCAGTGTCTTCCGTCAGTCTACCAGGTCAGCCAGGCTGCCTGATGGACATTCCTGCTTGATTGACTGAGGAACCTAGCAAGCCGGTTCTTAAGCCAGCAGCAGTTCTCTGGCTGTTGAACGCACATGTCTGTGGATTCTCTGCTTCCCTCTGCTTACCTCATTCCAAGACCTGCTCCTGCTCTGCTCCTCCACTTCTTGAGCCTAGACCTTGCCATGCTCCCAACCTCACTTCAGCCTAGACCTGCAGTGACATTCCCCAGGGTACAATCTGGACTGCTGAATAGCTGCATCTCCTGAGTTCTCCAACCTGGGATATATTTTACACTGCTTTATTGGTGAACAGCCACCCCTGGCCAGTTAACACACAGCCTCCAGCGTGTAACTAGCTCCCAGCTGCACAGTATTAAGTGTTACTGGCTAGCCACTCATGAATTACACTGCAGAAGAAGAGCAGCAGATTCTCTAGTCTCAGATTTTCCACCAGAAATGTGCATCTTGTGTTGTCCGGCACCTTACTGAACAATGCAAGCTCATATAAAGTCCATCATGTCATCAACAGAAAATGATATGCACCAGCTGTTATCCCAAATTGAGTTTCCCAATCTGAACACACTGGTTTGATAAAACAGTGAAACACGTTTATTAAGTACAGAAAGAAAAGAAAGATTTTAAGTGACTACAAGTAATGAAGTACAAAAGTCAGGATTGCTTACAACAGAAATAAAAGATAAAATGTGAGCTAAATGCCTAACTTAACAAGCTAAGTACATTTAAAAGCAAAAAGATTTCTCTTACCATAAGCTTACAACAGTCTTTACTGGCTGAAAAGCCTCCCAGCCAGGACTCCCCCTCCCCCAAGTTCAGTTCTTTGAGCGTCGTTGATGTCACGAGCAGAGATGGAGGAGAGAGGTTAAGCATTTTTCTCCCCTCTTTAGAATTCAGTTTGTTGTGCTACAAACATCCTAGCTGAGTCCTGGTGACAAACAGTGCCTTGTGGATGTGAGGTTCGAACCATTATTCTGAGGAAATTCAAATTTCTTGTTCATGCCTTCCCCCACCAGAGAATTGTTGCATAACTAAGTGATAGCCCACTTGACTTTGTTGATACCTGTCTGGGGGTGCCAGTCTTTGTCTTTAAAGAATTGGTTTGGGCCTGCCTTTTGAACTCTGGAATGTGTTATAGCAATGTTATACAGTAGAAACTTATAACTTTACATACAATATTGATACACATGTTTAACCAGGACAATAACATGCAGCGGATGATGAATTTTTAAATGATGCCTCAGAAGGCATACTTTGTACAAAATTTATCATAGTCTTGTAAAAGTTGTGAACTTAATGGTATAGACTGTCACCTGCCCAGTACCCAGCCTTGTTCCAGTCTTGTCACTGCCTTGGAACCCACCCTGCTCCTGCCTTCCCTGACTCCAGCTAATCTGGTTCTGACCCTCAGCCCTAGTTCTGTCTCAACTCTTGGCTCTGGCATTTGAACTCTGGACTTTGGTTCTGACCTCCAGCTCCGATTCCTGGCTCTGACTCTACTTTGACCTTGGGCTGTGGCATTTGGATTCCAACCACTAGGCCTGGCCACTTGCGACCTCTTCCCGATAGGCAGCAGCTTCTGAGCACTCGTCATTTAAAAGTACTCCCATTGTGTCCTTAATTTGTGAAGTCAAAGTAAATGCTTCTAAAAAGCCATTCTCCTTGTCTGGTAAAATCTCAAGGGTTCAGAGGAGAAAGGAGTACCAAGACCACACAAAAAATAGATCTTGCTCTTCTTCACCAGGTCCTTCCTCAGGGAGCCATAAATCCTCTTGAACCTCAGGGGAAAAGGTAGCACAAAGCCCCAGAAGGGTTGCTCTGGCCCCTGGTAAGGCACGAGTCACCGTGCCTCAAGACCAGCTCCCTTGATACCACTTACATTGTCCAGTATCATCCTCCAGGTACTGAGGCCCCTGGTACCATGTCTCTGGTACTGACGCCATCTACTCACCTGTCTTCATGTTTGGTGCAACAGATTTGGTACCAAAATTATATATAGCCTCAAAAGACTTACTGGTCGTTTTGGTACTGGGATCCCCACTGTTGCAGTGCTGAAGCTTCCTCCTTTGGCATCGACTGCTGCTCCAGTATGAGAAATGAGGACATCAATGGTACTGACCAGAGCATCATCTGAAAGTGCTTTCAGCACACCAGCTGATACAGCCTCTCCTCATAGGGAGGACTATTCATTCTCCTCAGGTACTGAGGGCATTAGAGAGTCTTCTCTGGTTTGTTCCCTAAGATCCAGATATTCAGGGCAATTTACACCTGAGAGGGAATGATGGGATGAATTTTATTACTCTAGGCATTGAAGCTCAAAGAGGCTCAAAGTACATGCTGGTATCATTGCCCTTGGCCGTAGCCCTTACTGCCTATCAATAGCCTTGGACTTATTGGGCTCTGTGAAGGATTCACTATGCTAGAAGACCAGTGTCTGCTTCTCAAATCAGGACTAGTTCCCTTTCTCCACTGCACAAGGCGGCTTTACAGCCAGCTCAGTCTGTTCCTGCATCAACTGAACAGGCTAATGGTTCAGATGAAGAGAGTCTTAGTCAGAGGACCATCTTTCACCAGCTCATATGTCCCCATCATTCCTGGATGAGGCTGTACTTGTTGAGTTATCTTTGTCAATGAGTATAGCCTCAACAGATGACAAGATGTTCCAAGACTTGTTAATCAGAATGGCTAACATGCTGGAGCTTCCAGTTGAGGTAGTTCAGGAAAAAAAAAATCACACAAGCTTCTGCTCATCTTGCACACCTCGGTACCTGGACATCTTGCAATACCCATCAGTTAGGGACTTTCAGAGCCAGCTAAATTGCTCTAGCAGACAGCTGTCTCTCTGGTACCAATATTGATGAGAGCAGACCATCACTACCAGGTTTCTTCCTAGGATTTTGGGCATATCCCACACCAGGTTCAATAGTGGTTACTGCATCAAATGAGAGATCACGTTGAAATAACACCAAAAGACAAGGAAAGCCCCCCAAAACAATTTATTCTGATGGAAAAATTACTTCACATCATGCCTCCAAATGAGAATCACCAAGTACCAAGACCTTTTGGTTAAATATGATTAACTGAAGTGGGATTCAATGGTTAAATTTGCCAAAAGCCTTCGTCAAGACAATAAGGAAGATTTTAAGTTGCTCTTCACTGAAGGTCAGCTTGCAACATGCATATGCCTCCAAGCAGTGCTTTGTGCTTCAGAGGGCGATCTCAAGTGTTACGAAGAGATCCTCAAAGAATTTCAAGTAGCAATTGAGGCTCTTGCATTTAGCACTCTTCAGTGCTAAAACAGTTGAGGCCTTACACTGAAGGACTTGCAAAAGTACATCAATCCTCAGCCACAGCATTTACTCCCGATATAGGCACCTAGAAAGTGTCAAAAATTTCTGAGAAGGAAGTAATCTGGATCCACCACAATATCTGCTTATTAGTCTCTCTCATGATCCAGGCAGCAGATTTGACTTCTTGTTTGGGAGTGGTATACAAATTCTTTTTGATCTTCCAATTATATCCCCTCCATACGGGAGTTACTTGTTTCATTGTGGGGTGTGGAACACTGTCATTAAAGCCTACTGAGTTCTGGAAATCTTGGCTGTTCCATTCAGTTCCAGACCAAGGGTGCTGGAGCCCTCCCAAAAGATGTTAGTGATAGATGTCTCCACACTAGGATAAGAAACCCATTTGGGCAATCTTCAAACACAGTATACTTGGACTTCTGGGGAAACATGACTCCACATAAATGTCTTTGAGCTAAAAG